GTTATGGGCAGGTTACAATATAAAATGTTTGTTATAATCATGTCTTGTGATTATTTGACAGGAGTTTTACTTTTAAGTGAACTTAAAATACACTTGTTCAGACTAGCCATTAGCTCATCAGTCTGGTCAAAATAAAACAGTTTTTTCAAACTCAGTTTGTTCAAACTGTGATAAAAAAGAAAGATAATAAATGTTCAAAACCTTTCCACAGAACTTTACTTTTAAATGGCCAAAATAATCCTTGAAACTTTAACGTTCCTTTGTAATAATTTGAGGATTTTCTTAATCTGTTGCAGATCTTTATTCTTAGAGGAACAACTCGAGTGGTTCCGGGTTTGTCTCTTCTAAAGCAAACAGAGGTGACATCATTTTCTAAACACTGACTCTGTGACCGAGCCGACGTTACAGAGAAAAGAAAAAAAATCTGTCCTCACCAACTTCCACCAGRATAATTTTAAGATGGCTGCGAGTCAAAGCGTCATGAAGGCCCACTTCCTGCTCGTACAAGAGCTGCCTTTGGTTTTCACACAAAGTTGTCGTTTCCTTTGATTTGCTCTCAGGTGACAAGATGATTATCAGTCTGTGGCATTGGTGCAGCGTGGCAGAGATGACATCGTGCATTGCTGTAAGAGGTTAATGAGAAACAGAAGCACTTATGTTTGAGTAATCAAATGAAAACATCCTGTTTGAAAACTGTGTTCAGTACGTTTCAACCACTCCTTGCAGCCATTTCTTTCACATTTAGGTTGTTCAGACATCAGAAGAAAGGCTCCTGTTTTTGGACAAGGACAGACTTTATTTTATTTTCTGGTTAACTGTGGAGATGAAAAGATGTGACCAATGGTTGCTTGTTCCTTCTTGCTAATTTAACAGGAGATAAAAGACAGAAGTTATGCAGTTTTTGTTACACGAGGCTGTAAGCGAAACGTGAGAATTGAAGTATAAATCAATCAATCTTTTTAGACTGTGCACTKAGAGAAAGTTTGGTGTGCGCTTGGCCAGCAAAGGCTCATGGGACATTTCATAAATTGATAAAGTATGAGYATTTGTGGTCTTATAAAATGTGCAAGTWAATCTTAAATCTAATTGAAATGTCTCTTGTAGTTACTTGTATTTCATGTTTAATCTTAATATAATTCAAAGATGAAGTAAGCACACTGAGTGAAACATTTCTGTCTCTTAAAGGGGACCTATTATGCAAAATTCACTTTTTAAAGGTTTTTTTTTACTCAACTTTGGGTATGTACTTCTTTAAAAAACAGTCCTAGGACCAAAAAATGCACCCAGGGGCATATTTACTGTAAGTAAATGTATTTTTAATGTATATTAACGACAAGTTTTATAC